CGCGCGAAATGCGCAACACCATGGATCCCGTTTGTGTGACGTAGTAGCATTTGTACTACAAGAATTGCCTTGTTTAGCTCTTGCCAGTATGGTGGGACTTGCCTTTGTTATTAGCTCTACTAAATGGTAGTAGTACTTAAGGTTCTTTGTTTGGTCAATCAAAGGATCGAGTCTCAGAAGAACCCTCTGTTGAACCTGTATTGGAGAACTACAGCAAGAGAAATGCTTTTTGCTAAATAATAGCCTTCCAAAGCCATAGTACTCAGCATTGTTACTGTACTACTATGCCCTTCAATACGTTTTTTCTTTCTCACAGAATTTATGCAAAAACATTTCATGCATTGTTAGATATGAGGTACAAATCAACCATGTAAAGTAAAAAGTTTAACAAGATGCAACAGCTGGTGGTGCTACTAGTAGTAGTACTAGTTCTTGAAGCTTCTAGTAGTACTAGTACTAGTACTAGTACCAGCAGTACTAATGCTAGTAGTAGTTGATGACCTCCAAAAGGATACACTACTACTAGTGCTACTAGTAGCAGCACTACTAGTAAACTTGGTTTTTGGGACTATGTCGGACTTGGAATCTCTGTCTGTGGCTTCTTTAGAGCTCGGATTGTGTATTAGGAAAATATTCAACGACAATGGGTGGATAATGAGAGGAATATCACCAGGTTTGCCATTTACAGCTTCCAATAAGTCTGACAGAGGACAGGTAATCACAATTCTGGACACCAAGATAACACACTTTCTTAGATCCATGAAAGGTGTCTTAACTTCTTGCACAACTGCATTGCAAAGTTGATCAGAGTAGTACTAGTAGTGTTCTTGGCCAATTGCCTTTTTGATCACCCTCTTCATCTTTCAACTCCTTGATGATGATGGCTTTCTGCTGCTGGTAGTGGTCAGTGGCAGAAAGCCCTCTTGTTTTGGGATTGGTGGTGATAATGGATAATGTGTGTGATTTTTCTTGTGCAACATGCATGGCTTCAGGTGTGGTGAACACAATTCAGTCTCAGTTAAATGAAAGAATGTCTCCTGTAAAATGATTCCCAACAAACAACTGGGAGGGGAACACACATAGCAAACACAGGCCATTGGGGGTCTCAACAAACAAGAAGCAGCATTTTTGCAACTCCTGTGTATTTCAAACATCATATTTTACTATTGCAATGCTTACTTTGGATAGGATCATCATGTATGAGAATGAGTCGAGGAACAAATGACAGATGATATCTGAGAACGCCATTCTTGTTTGGTCTATTGTGCATTTTTGAGTTGGTTTTTGAGACAGGATTCAAATAAAAAAGGGTTTGAAATTTGAAAACCACCATGGGTGAAACCAAAAGGGAGTGGGGAAACAAAATCTAATATTATACAAAAGTTCTTAAATAACTTGCCAGTTTGGGACTTACCATTAATACTAGTAGTCCTAATACCTTTGTAGGGTACAAGTACATATGAGGAACGAAGGCAAATGAGGTGGTGACAGGTCTGGAGTCAGTACAAATTGTACACAGCTCTACAGATGAAACAATATTTTCAGGTAAGTAAATTAGGTAATCCAAGGTTTGCACATATGTAGAGGGAGTATGTGTTGTTTTTCAATGAATAGCTAAAAGTATAGACTAACACAAGCCAAACAGTTATTATGAACCATCAATTCAACCTATGCATTGCAGAAATTTGTATCTGATTTGTCTACAGCTTATCAACAGACATGTCCTTGCAGGTAGTTTGACAGAATGACAAAGAACAGGAGGAGAGAATGGTGGTGTGACATAAGACTGAGCCATGTAGAGACGGTGTTGAAACAAACACAATGTTACTACATAAGGAACGTTTCCTTCCAGCATACAAAGATCATGGTAAAGGATAACGAAATGGAAAACATAGGTTAAAAAACAGGTAAAAGAAAGTTACAGTAGGGAGAATGCCCCAGAGGGCCTAATAAAGTCTGGAAGTCATTGGACAGGAACTATCAACAGGGCAGTAACTGCATGATGCAGACATAACACAGAGACTCTGGCTCAAAAGAACCTCAAGGGAACGTTGCAAAACGCTGCAGGTATAGCCATAAAAAATTGTTTGGTCTAACAATTTGTTTCCTTCCTGGATACAGGTAAACCAAAAAAAATGGTTTAGTTCTGGCGACTTTTACAGGAAAATGTTTCATAACAGAGTGTGAAGACAGTTTGTCATTTGTGTTAAACCAGGAATGCAGACGAAAGAACACACCAGAGTTCAAGTACTTCGTGAGACTGATATTAGGAGTAGTATCACCAAAACAAAACAATTTCAAGAGGAGAAGAAACAAGAACACAGTGAGCAAAATATTCAGCACAATGGACAAAGCATTTGCATTCCTGTTCTTGTCAAAGGACTAAGGGTATTCTTTGAATAATTCTGGAAACGGAAAGAAAATCCAAAAACAATTCACCAACAGGAAGACTGAAACCTGCAGGGACATATACTGTTCATACAGCTTGTGAAAGAGATAGTAAAACAAAGACCAGAAGACAAAACAATAACCATTTAGACAGCACTGATGGCTGACTATGAGGAAACCATGGATGAAGACAGAGAGGAAAGAGAAAACAAAAGAATAAAACTGCAAGAAGAGGAAATGAAGTTTGATGTCACAGAAGTGTGGGACACAAGTATCTTCAAAGATGCTAAAGAGTTCTTGGACCTGGCAGTATAATTTGATACATTTCTAAAATATTATTTTATGGCAAATGATAGACAAACAACGGAGATAGTACTAGAAAGAATCATTGCATGTCAGGGAAAATTGGAAACTGTGAAAATAAGATAAGGGAAGGGTTCAAGCAGAGTTGTTTTACATCTCCATAGTTTCTTTGTCAATGGGATAATGTTGGCAACGGCACAGGGGAATCCAATAGATTGGCTTTGATACATTGAGCATTTATCACAAACATATCTGTACAATGTTGTTATTCTTGATGTTGCAAGAATAAAAAACAGCTGAGGATAAAAAACTGTATGAACCCCAGAAAATAGCATGAAATTTGTACTGAGAAACATAGGGTGTGAGAAAATAATCCAGGGAAGAGGGCCATGAGTTTCGTATTGGAACATCAAAAAATACACACACAATTTTCTTGTTTTGCTCCACGTGGGAAGTTGAAAAGACCATTATGTTGATTTCTTGTGTGATGTAGTAGTGCTGCACGATGGGTCTGCTGGTGCTGGCTGACAAGAATAAGAAGAATCATACTAGAAAGAGGGCTCCCATGATGAAACTCGCAAGAAGCCCTCCTCCTTCGCTGTCACCACCATGTTCACTACTACTACTACTACTACTACTACTACTACTACTACTACTACTACTACTACTACTACTACTACTACTACTACTACTACTACTACTACTACTACTNCTACTACTACTACTACTACTACTACTACTACTACTACTACTACTACTACTACTACTACTACTACTACTACTACTACTACTACTACTACTACTACTGGTTTGATGAGTTGTTCTAGTACTATGAGTTCTTGTTGGAAGAACAATGTTAAGGTGAGCAGCAACAATAAAGGGTCAAAGGAGAGCAGGGATACCTTACTAGATTTGCTGAGGAGGAGGTTAATCTCATATACAATGATATTGTTCTCTGATGCTGCAAGGTCCTCTGGTGATGATTTTCCACTATTCTGCTGTAATTCCACCAACAATGGATAATTGGTTGCACCACCTCATACTAGTAGCATTAGTAGTACTAGTAGAGCCACTGGTAGTAGAAATCACATGTTACTATGAAATCATCTCAAGAGATTGGAATGATACTCTTGGAATACTAATGGAGACCAATTTTTCAGACTCTCCACACAAGTATTTCATAGTACATTTCTCCTCCCTACAAGTATAGTAATTGTAAATTGATGTCTCGTTTTCACTTATATGTTTCACAAGACTACTGCTGTAGAGTACAAAATGCAGCACTACATGTGACGTATTACTACTGTGCTCCTTCTGAAAGCATTTTTGGCTTGGCACATTCAAAGTTGGAAAAGAAGCTCTCATTCAGCTTTCCTATTAGTCTAGCAGTTCCAAGAACAATACAACATTATAACTCCCATCATCAGATCCCCAACAGTATTCTACTGTTGGCTCATAGTTCCTAGGAGAATGGGGTCAATGAGCACAAACTCAAATTCAATAGCACATACCATGCTGTGCTTTTGAGCAATGGTAAATGACAGCCATGTTGTGTTAAATCACTACAAATTGTCAACTGTTGTAGTAGTAGCAGATGTTATACTTTTTAATATTGATTGCCTTGATTCACAAATGAATTTAGTTCTGTAGAATTTGATTTTGTGCGCGTTGGTTGTTCAATGCAAATTGCAGCCTTGATGCAACATCATAATCATGATTTGTTTTCTTGCGGTAGTCACAACAATCTTCAGACTTCATTTGTTGGATGGATACGTCAATTCAAGAGAGGTAAGTGTCGCTGCAGCAATTGGTGCTTATGTCTTCCTGGAAGAAAAGCGCAATTGATGGTAGAAGTAGTATATACCCATTCACGGTGGATACATTTTTCATATAGCGAGAATTCTGCCCCCGCTTGATCTATGATTTTCTGGACGCACATTGCAATGGTAAGGTACACTTGGAATGCATTTTTAATTCGACTTTCAGCAACTCATCTAACCCAAATAACAAAGTTTGCATTATTTGTTCTAAGAAAGCCTGGATGCATATCGTGATGCAAGATATTCTAGAGTTTCCTGAAGACATGTTTCAATCGCATCATGCTGTATTCCTCTGATGCAAAATGTACTATCTGCGCGTGTGTTTCGTCACAACACTATTGTCGAATCACCAGACTCTTTTTTGTTTTTGTAGCAGACCTTTCCAGGACCTAGTCCAAGCTTGCCACACGTTTTCCTGCAATAATTCCAAACTCTTTTTTTCGATGTCTTAAAAGCTTTACTTTTGCAAATCCGTTTGGTAATTTTCCTTCTCTTAATCCACTTACAGCTTCGTTTCTTCTTTCGCTTCCATTTAAATTCTGGGTCGTCCAAGCATTCTGTTGGCAGAGTTGGCTTATTTGTTGGTTCATTGGTGGGTGGATCAGTTGGGATATCGGGAGGAAACTCGGTCGGTACATTGCTTGGTGGCTCGGTTACGGTATCGGATGGGGATTCGGTCACCGCTGGAGAGGGCCGACTGGTGATTGGCACGTCGCTTGTTTTCGATTCTGTTGGCAGACTACTCGGCGGATCTGTTATGGTATCAGATGGTGATCCGGTCATTGCGGGAGAGGGCCGACTGGTTATAGGCACATCACTCGTTTTCAATTCTGTTGGTAGACTACTTGGCGGCTCGGTTGTGCTATCGGATGGCGATGCAGTCAATGCTTGAGTAGGTCGCCTTGTTATAGGCACCTCGGTCATGAAATTGGATGGCGATCCAGTCATTGCTGGAGTGGGCCGACTGGTCAAAGGCACATCACTCGTTTTCAATTCTGTTGGTAGACTACTTGGAGGGTCTGATGCTATTTTAGAGGGCAATGCGGTCGGTGTATTCGTTGGCTGCGTGGTTGGTTGTGGAAATAAGACGGGTCGTTGAGTTGGTTGAATTAGAGGTGGAAAGATTGACAATGTAGGCGTCAGTGTGGGCTCATCGACAGGGGGTGGTGTAGTCTCCTCGATAGGCTCGTTAAAGATACCACCTATTTGTGTTGGAGTTGGTGATGTGAACGCTGAAGGTGTTTGTGTTGGTCTTGGAGTAAGGGAGAGCTGGTTTTCTATGCAAAATTCGTGGGCCATGGTCGTCCGAAATTGTGCACCCTCGAAGATTTGGGTATCCTCAACAAACCCCTTATAGTAGCCATTTCCATAGTTGCAACAAATTCCATCATCCTCTTTGTCGAAGATTTTGAACTCGTAGCAACCTGGTTGTAGGCAAAATGCGGATCCTGAGCTGGGAAATCCATACAGTGTGTCGCCCAAGTACCCCTCAGTCCGTTCGATTTCCTTATCGATGTCTATGTTTTTAAGCATCATTATCGTTTCCTCTCCGTACTCGTCTGTCTGTAATATTACTCTGAAGGTTTTACCACCGTCGCAATACATTTTGCTCGGAGCTGCTGTTGGTTGTACGTTACTAACGGTAGAAATCTCTACGATGGCATCCTTGCCATTGATAGACTTGGCCGTAACGGTGATATCAAAGTTGGTCCCCTTGAAATTTTCAAGCACATAAGAACTCCCTGACCTCAATCTAGCTAGGCGGATTGATTTGCCGTGTCCGTCCCGACCGTAAGAATCATTTTGACTATTTTCCTTTGCATGAATGGTTACAAGATTGGGAACGTCTTTGGTTCCAACATTGGCACCGACGGCGCGATTATATCCGATGTAGTAGTCAAGACCACCGAGGAGGCCATCGTTTTCCAGCCGAAGGGATACGAGTGCATCTCCATTCGATCCGTCCTTTGCGTAATCGGCCACTCCATTCAAAGTGTATTGCAGCGGACTGTCACGTCCGATGAGCAGATCCAGAGGATCAATGCTCTTCACTTGCGAAGAGTACCATCCCAACTGATAACTCTTGGCCGGGTTGAAGCACTGCTTTGGTCCGTTCAACTCGTCGTGGGAATACCCCATCATCCCAGACGTGTCGGCGTACTCGCTATTGCCCGGAAGTCCGGAATGGCCAAGATTCAGGTTGTGACCGACTTCGTGCATCTGTGTCGAAACACGCTGGCACCAAAAGTCATTATAATACGATCTCCAATCGTTTATATATGCGTAAGCGACCCAATTCCCCGTGCCTCCTGGTAGGCAAAACATAACGATATCAAAAAGATTACCAAGAGAGTCTCCACCACCGAACATGGTCGTCGTAATCACAGTGGCCTCAGCTTCGATGTTTGGATTGTTGCCCTGGGTTGCTACATTGCTGACCCCCACATTGACAATGCCCGGATAATACAATCCATCGATGGTAGTTCCATGCTCTTGGACAGGATTTACAATGACCTGGTCGTGAGAACAAGCAGCGTATTGAGATTTGAGGCAAAATTCGCCAGTGAAAACATCGTTTGTGAGCTGCTTGGCGTCGGCGGCCGGACCAACCTTTTCGCCGTCGATGACTCGTATCACCAACGTGTCCAGGATCCTGATTTCGGACGAAGCGAGATTCCGTTGGCGTTGCCGCCGGGCCCTTCGGTTTCTGGCGTGCCTGGTATCGATTTCCCAATCCATGCTTTCAATTTTGTAGTCTGACTTGGGTGGGATGTACAGGGTGGTAGCTTGATCTGCGGAGCGATTGTAACTGCCGTTTTCATTCTCATAGCTGCCGTTGTCGGTGGTATCTATTTCACTGATGTACGTCTTCTCGTCTACAATCATCAAGGACTCCCCCGATACTGGCCCCATGCGCTCAATCTCTTTAGAAGAAATGCCCTTGATCTCCACCATTTCGTTGCCACCGGTATACTCTGCAGCTTGCCCAAGAGGAAATTCACAGTGCCAAGAACGGGTATCGTGGCCATCTTCCCATTGGATTTGCTTGAGATACAGGACGCATTCTGTTTTTGGTGGCAGGTATTTCTTACCGCCGCGCTCACCTTTGCGTACGAAATGATGAACAGACGAAGACGCAGCAGAGACCACTTGGCATGCAATAACAACTGCTAAAAAAGGAGCAACAGAAGCAACGAATTCAAACATGATTATGCTGCTTCTCTTGAGCTCAGTGCTTTGCAACTTGGTTGGCAATCACTTTAGTTTAGTTTCTCATAAATGCTCCTCTTTTTTTCTTTCATTGACAAGGTAATTTTAGTACTTTTATTGTCACGATAGAAGAAGAAATTTATCGTACTTTTAACCAGGCAATTGCTTTTATTGTATGGTTTAGGAATGTTTCGGCGTCTAGGAAATAAAAACGTTCCCCAAAGCTCTCTTAAAAAAACTTAACCATTCACTAAAAAATTTGAACATCATCGAACCATAGCCAAAATGTCGAAGATCAATCAAGAAGCCTTTTTCCCCAGAAAAGTAGAAAGTTCGGAAGAACAAGAGATGTATAATTTTTATCATGACATTTTGGAAAAAGAAGGCACTATTGAATTTTCGAAAGGAATTATGAAAAGAGAATCGTTGTCACGCAGGTGGTTCGTAATATACTTCTTCTTCTTCTGTATTTCAAACCATGTCATGAAAACAGTCATCGAAAATAAGAGTACTGTCGAATAAAAAAATTCAATTCCATCTAAGCCCCAGGTAAAAATTATTAATCAATTCTCCTTGGAACACACCAATCCGCCACATTCATTTCCTTTGTGCTACCGTACCGTAGGTTTTGCTTCTAATCGGGGATTGAAGAAATAGTGAACGACTTGGTTGGATAGGAACAAGTGAAGTTCTACAGGACAGTGCAATATGTGGTGTGATACGCAATGGTTGAATGGAAATCGAAATCCAAAGGCCAGCGCTGCAACAGCATTTCAGTGCTCGGTTCTGGTCGTAATTTACTCTTTCAATAGAAGGCCAATACGATGGAACATCGTCACCACACCGTTGTCGTTGGCATTATCATTCACCAGTGGAGCACCAATCTTTCATGCCGGTATGATGCTTGCTATCCTCCGTAAACATGTCCCGTCATACTGGTTATCGGAGAATCAGTTGGGCGTTGTCGAAAAAAACTCATCTAACCTCACGATCACCTTCAGTTGATGGGTTCGGCTTTGATTTCCAATATGATGTCACTGGATTGGATGGTACGTGCTGTATTATGTTTTTCTTTGTTTTAATCATTTTTTCGTGATTCGATTTTTCGGAGCGAACAGGGAATTTTCTGGCCGTTGTTCCAGTCTACTATGGAAATTGCCTTGCTTATTTTACTCGTACTCAAACGCTACCAACGCAACAAGACTGCAAAAATCATGAATGGTACGTACCGTACTGAAAAGTTCATGCTGTGAGGCAGTAAATCACGAGTAGATAAAACGAAGACTATTAAATGCACTGTAATATCATTTTGAATGCTTTTGTCCAAAGTTTTTATCACAAGAATTTATTTCTTACACTACGATGTGCGAGGACGCTTGACAATACCGGTACAAACAGTTGATAGTACAAACGAATTTGAAGCTCGACTTATGAGCCCAAAAGAATGATTGAGTTCTTCTACTGATGAGCAAATAGATAGTAGTACTACAAGTGGTACTACTGGTTGTACTAGTACGAAGTATTATTTCTAGTACTATTACTACTACGAGTAGTACTAGTACTTGTGACGTAGTATTACTAGTAGTAGGTAGTAGAAATGATTGAATGAATTATCATTGTTCTTCTTCTTTTACATTTTTTTTTGCTGTAGTTTCTACTACTACTACTAGTGCAAATTGTCTTGTCATTCAAGTAGTAGAATAAACTGGTATGAGCAAGCAGTCCTCATCCCATCATTACTAGTAGTACTACTATGTTATTGAGTAGTAGTACTAGTACTAGTAGTAGCTACTAGTAGTAGTAATATTAGTAGTGTATTTATGAGCCCAAATCAGGAGTAGTAGTGGTAGTAGGAGGAATAGTGATACTTTTGCAATGTTCGCAAGTCATTATGGAGGTTACATTTCGTTGTAGAAGTAGCGCTTCTTACTACTGTACTATGTCTTCTTAATGGTAGTACTACTAGTAGTACAGTACTATTACCTAATGTTGGAATGCTCTCTTTCAAATTTTTCACGGCACCATGGCCCTTGTATGGTGGTGTGATGATGCTGGTCCAACCCACTCTCTGTTCCTAAACTAAGACAGCAACAGCTTTTTTGCTGGTCCACAAGCCTAAAATAGTAAATGGTAGTTTATGGCCAAAATTCCCCTTGGTAATATAATTCTTGTCTTCATAAAGCCTCTTCTAGTAATAGAAGGTAACCTTGTGCTTGTGGTGGTTTACTACTAAAATCGGCATAGCTTACTGCTAGAGCCACTACTAGTAGTACCATACTGGTATTGCCCAGGTTCTAGAAGGAATCAGCCTCAGTAAGCAGCTGAGCGCTGCATTGAATTGATCTATTCCTTTTATGAAATACTAGAATTGCGCTAAAAGTGTTACTTTAGTACAAAGTATGAAATGTGAAGTAATGCATTGCACAATATGCAACAGCTTGCCCGCTTGTTTATTTCTCTTTGCCTCGATTCTACACTTGTGGGGATAAAAATTGAGAGCACTTTGTACTACTCTAAATTGTTTTGCCTAGCCTTCACTACCATAAGCTCAAGCCAGAGACACTGGCGGTGCTAACAATCGCAGTGCTTGCTACCTTCAGGAACGTACTACCAATTCCGATGTAAAAGGAAGGAAGAGGAAGACATTCGGTTAACGTTTGCTCGCCTCATCTGGTTGCGATGAAAAACCAAAGCGTCTCCTTTCTTGTTCCAAACCGCAATGAATTTGCTTTGGGAAAGGAATAAAACTACAATCGTGAAGATATTTCTTCAACGACAAGCCAGCCCTAGAAGCACAGCCGCGGGTCTTTTGAAGGTTCAGCGTATCGGTCTAGAACGCTGGGGGCGAATCTGTCTCTTCCCTGCTGCTGTCCTCTTGGTCGTTGCAATCCATGGTGATGCAAAATTCTGTTTCTGGGTCGTCCTCGGGGAATCGTTTCGGCGGCGGCGGCGACGACGACATCTGGGCCGGTTCGTCGTCCACGTCGCCATGCATCCGCAGGAAAGTTGTCTGGAGCACCAGTAGCCCGCCCAGGGCCGACATGATGCCGTAGACGAGGACTGATCCAAAGGGGGGCGTAACGCTGTTGACGCTCCTCGAAAACAAGACCCCGCCAAAGAGCGGGCCGCACGCCTTGGCGAGCGAGCCACCCAGCATCGACAAGCCGTTCATGGTCCCCCGCTGGTGAGCCGGGACAGTCCGGTTGAGGAGCATGGTAATCGTCGAAAAGACGACGCTCGAAAAGGCCCGGATGAAAGCGTAGACAATGCTCAGATAGGCGAGGGACGCCCCGTTGAGCGCCCCCTCGGCCGCTCCCTCGTTGGTGACCAGAGACAAGGGGATCCAGATGCCCGTTGGGACGCTCAGGGCCGCTGAAACCGTGAGCGCGGTGTAAAAGCCGAAGCGATTTACGAGGCCGGTCAGCAAAAAGTACTGCATGGCGACGTATACCAGCCCCGTCCCCGACAAAATGTTGCCAATGATTTTTTCCGTCACCCCCAGCCCCGAGGTTTTCGATATGCAAAAGAGCGGGAAGATTTCATCGAGCGTAATGATGAGAAAGGAGTACACCCAGTAGACCAGCAGGTGCTGTCGAGTGCTGTTGCGTTGCAGAAGGGACGCAATGGTAGCGGTGTTTCCCCCGTCGTCCCTGCTTTCGTTCGTGTCGCCGCCACCGTCCGTTGCGCCTTGTCCTCCGGTCGGCGAGACGACCACGCTCCAGTTGTTTTCCGAGATCTCTCCGTCCTCGCTGTGCAGGTGTTTGAACAACCCCCAGGAAGACACGGTTCGCAGAATCTTTGGGTTTTGGCTCGTTTTGGCTTCGATCCATGACCAGAGACCGATACTCGGAACCAATCGGAAGGGTTGTCGCTTTTCTTCCGGCAGGGTTTCTGTCACAAAAGCGTGGGTCAACGCGTAGCCGACCAGACAGAACCCGCACCCGACGAGATTCGGAAGGAAGAACGGGTATTCTTCCAGCCAGGGACGGAAGGCCTCCACGAGTTCGGCTTCCGGGTACTGCTTGGCGGGGTCAGACAGGTATCCGGATATGGCCGGGTTAATCAGGAAGCCGTACCCCCACATCCCCAGGACGATCCCCATTGTCTTGGTTTCCTTCGTCTGGTCTCCGTGGGCGTACTCCGACACGAGGGTCTTGATCGGGCCGATGAGGCCGTTGCAGACCCCGAGCAAAAACCTCAGCGCCAGGGCCATCGGAAACGAACCCGCTAGTCCAAACAGAAGCGAAAATACCGCCGACAGGAGCAGGGAAGCCTTGATCACGCTCACCCGGCCGTACCGATCGGCCGCTTTTCCCCACTCGAAGCTCGAAAAGGTCCTCCCCGCCATGAAGGAGGAAGCGATCAGCCCGGCGTAGCTCCCGGCGGTTTCCTCGGTCAGCCCCTCGATCAGGTGCATGGACAAGAAGCCCGAGTAGGGAAAGACGGAGACCAGGAGGTAGGACTGCACGAGGAGGGAAAAGGAGAGGGCCGATGTGGTCGTCAGCCATTCTTTGTGCTTTCTTGCTTCGCTGGAGGGATCGGAGTCCCCACCGGGCGTTGCCTCGCTCGAAACAGAAACAATCGCCGCGGGCGTGGCGTTCGAAATCAGCGGCGTGGATTCCGTCGTCTCTGGTTCATCGCCGCGGGGACGTTCTCTTGGTCCCATGGCAAATGTGTGATTTTGTCTTCTGTGTCGTGTGATGCGTGTTGAAAGGATACCGTGATTGTAAGATAATGTAGAGATGTGATCTTCCGGATGGTTGGTTCTTTTGCAACGAAAGGCCTCTTCGATTCCGATCACGTAGAATCTTGAGAAAAAATGGGTGGGTGACTACGAGTGAATGAATACGTTCTGTGCTGAACTTCTTGAACTACGTAAATACAATTACTTCGTTGTGCAGTACTGTATTGCCTAAAGAAGTACAGAAGAAGTTTTCGTGTTTTTCTGAAAACCCCAAAAAAATTGTGCCGAAGATACCGTACAATAGAGAATCAAATACAAAAAATATTTCCGACCGCACCTCTGATCAACCAACGTGGGGTACTACGATACCTGTATTTCGTGCTTTTTAGTGTGTAATTTTATTCTATTGTATTCTATTATTGAGTATCAATTTATTGAGCATGTATGCATTCTTGTATTGCGGCATGCTTCAAACGAGTTGAGGCATGGCAGTTGTACCTCAAGATAATCGGATGCATGATATTGCAATGGAACCTCAAGTTAACGGGATATATGATGAACTGCTTGTTGGTCATCCTGTGGGGGGTTGCTTTCTGATATCGGAGATCGTGCTTCCCGACAAAGCCACATCTCACACCAATATGGAATAGGGTGGCCTTTTTCTTGTTCTGGCCGTGATGCCCGAGGGCCAATCGCAGACGCCCTGATTTACTCCGAAGTAGCCACCCCGGCCGAACGGAATCCCATTGGCGTCTTTTCCTCGCAGGTAGGTCCCGTGGTTGCCGGGAAACGAGTTGAAAACCGTCCCGGTGTTGCATCTCTGGTAGGAGGACGTCGCCACGGTGCCGGTGCACCAGCAGTAGGCATTTTTGACTGAGAGATCCGGATAGTATCCGGTGGGCATGCCGGCCGGGCAACCACCTACAATCGCGCATTGCGGCTGCCACGACGGGCAGTTCGGGGCTGTCAGAGCGGAAGAGCAAACGAAGGCCGGAGCGGCCGGGGGAGCGGGGACGGGTGCAGGTGTCGGTGCAGGTGCCGGCTGCACAACGCATTCTCCGTCGTACATCAACTCCCTGGCGTATCCGGCGAACAAAAAGTTGTTTCCGCCGTACCAGGCGCAGTCGTTGTCCGGTTCAAAAGGGCAGTACGCATCGTAGGAAAAGCTAAAGCACGATCGATCTGTGAATGTGAATGAGACAGATCTCTTCTTTTGTAGCTCCGTCAAAACATCCGGGGTGCCCGGATTGTCTGCTCCAGTTCCGTCCTCCAGGGCCTCGAAGACGGTCATCTCGTTTTCGGCACAGGGTGGCACGCCCAGCGAGTTTTTGCAGAATTGTCGGACCTCGCTGTCGGCGGGGTTTGGATACAAAGTATAACCCGTGGCTTGTGTTGCATCAATTTCTAGTCGCTCCCAAAGATTATAACCGGTTGTCTGGCTGTTGCGGCGATCAATATCAAAGACCGTCCTGTAGTTGTATTCATTCGACCATTGCAAAGCGGAAAGATCCCACAACAAAGATTAAAAAGAATAAATTTGAAGTAATTGTCATTGGAATATAAAGGCAATTGCAGAAAATGAGAATCAGAATGATACTCGTGATGATCATCAAATAATGACACTGTTTTAAAAAGCCTCTTGCAATACTATATTCTTCCAAAACGCGATAGCAAGATGCTTACCATTGAAACGAGTCGACTATCACTTCAATAGTGGTGCCTGGCTGAACAAAGCACGCCTTGAAGTGGGCACGCCCTGCAGAAGAATCACCGTGAATGGTAAAGAGATTGATCGATCCGAACTGGCCAAAACCATTCTTGTTCTTGCCGTTGTTGAAACCATTGGGATTGGAGTTGGTGTAATCGTCCGATGTTATTAAGAAATCAACAGCTTCGCCGCGAACTATGCCAACGTTTCCAAACCTCAATTCACCTCTTTCCTGTTCAAGGTTGCTTTGAACTACATCCGCATGAAAAATGTCTATGTTTGTCTCCAAAACGTCACAAGGTGTGGGTGGCCTTGAGGGGTTTCCGCTAGGGAAGCTACTTGGAAAACTACTAGGAATATAGCTGGGACTGGTACTGCTGTCTTTTAAACTTTTGCTCTTTCCCTGACTTTTACTCTTTCCTTTGCTAACGCTCTTTCCCTGACTTTTACTCTTTCCTTTGCTA